CTCATTTTTAAGGCAAGACTCTTTTCTCTCTCTCTTTCTGTATTTACATCTTGCTGTGACTCCAAAATCACTTTGCCACTAAAGTAAGTCAGAAAGCTGAATACAGCATAATCTAACTATGGATATCCACTAAACTCTTTTTAATTGGAATCCAATAAGAGTGTGATTATCATTCCTTGGTGCACACAAAGGCTGTTAAAAAAAAACAGTGGTTAATAATGACATTTTATACACAAGTTAAAACTGAAACCCGGGAGTGAGCCTGCATCCATCCGCTTCTGAAGATAGAAATTTTTCACACAGAATATCCCTGAATGGACCAACATCGCTTCACTCTACATTGTAAAACACTAAAACACAGGGAACTGAGAGTAGGAATGTCATTTCCATTGAGCTGCAGGCTGAGTTTCTGCACACCCCGTGTAATTCATAATGAAATCACAGGGGTATTGTGACCTTGACTGAGGTCAAGGAAGGAGTTTTTAAAAGGACCAGAAACACTTGCAGCCCTGCAGCAAAGTAGGAAGTTTAAGAGGGTGCCATTCAAAGATAAGGAGCGAGCTTTGTCCTTAGAGTGGCTCTATTGTTTAAATGTAAGCTCTTTCTTCAAACACAAACATTTAAGCGAGCGAGCAAACCGGATGCCTTTACAAATATTTTCTCTGTGTGTAAATATAATCATCAATATTTAACTGTGCCAACTTTGTAAAAAAAATAATAATAATTTCCACTGGTGCTGACAGCTCCTACGTGTCACTCAAATCAAGCAAAGATTCTTGGTGAGATTTTGGTCACTATACTGCACAATATCTGCATTAATGGTTAAACCTCTGTGATAAGTTGTGTATCAGAGTATCATTTTGTGGTGTCATGTTTTGCTCACTAGGGCTTGATTTGTCTTGTCTCGACACAAGACAAAACCTAAACAAAAGCTCAGAGAGAATGAAGGAAAAGTCTCTCATCTTGGCTGAGGACTGCAGACCATCCCCCCCTCACCCCACCCCACCACCACCACCACCACCGCCAACCAACCTTCTCCCCTACACAGAGTTGTACACATCAACCATGGAGAGGTAGAAAAACAAAGGCACCCTGAGAGAGCCTTGACTGATAGATAGATAGAGCAGTTATGCATTCCAGGGTGAATAATGAACATAACTGCGCACAAACATGCAGGAACATTCAGATCATCTGAAGTCATCTTCAAAAACAACAGATTCCACACTTCACCCCCCAAGGAATATTACAGAAGTCATTGTACTTAATGAAGAGGCAAAAATACAAGATACAGAACAGATTAAATATTGCATCATTATCCTCACTGCCATGTACAGATTCTTTATATGACTCTGTACATGACAGTGAGGATAATGATGTGAGGGGAGCAGTGTCTGATGGAACAAACTACTCTCATAAAGTAGAGGATGTTTTTGGTAAACCGAATCAAAGTGCTAGTGAAAAGAAGCGCCACAACTATCGCAACAGACTTAAAGCCTCCTCTCACTGTTACACAATGCAGTCTACAATGCACTGACAAGCACGCACAGTTGTGCACACACTGAGTTGAAATACGCGTAAACCACTTTTCAGTGCTCAGACAAGATTAAAGGTGTTTGATTTGGCCAAAACCTTTTGTGCATATATGGCTGACATCCAGAGTCAGTTTCAACAACAAAGGCTGGATGTTATTTTTCTATGTGGTGATTTAAAAAAAAAAAAAAAGAAAAAGTGAAGGTGATATTTGAGCAGAGGTATCATTATGAAAAATGATCCCGTGCCAAGTTGCTGAGGGGGGCCAGGATGAGTTGGAACTGGAGGGCTGGTGTTGACTGAACAGCACTGCTCATTCTTCTCTTTATCTCGCTGGCATTCTTCTGCTTCATTTCAATAGCCATTCTTCAGTGAAGAGCCCCCTTCGCTGTCGTTCACACTTTTTGTGATTTGTATTCTAAGTGGCTCACAGATCTTTTGTATTCCGGGCCGATAGCAATCTGAATCCTCACGCTGACAGTGAAGGCTGCAGATATCCTGCTGGAGCAAAAAAAAAAAAAATAAGAAAAACAAAACAAAACAAAACAAAACAAAACAACACAAAACAAAAATGCTCCTATTTATTATGTGGAGTGAAATCTCTTTTGTGGAAATTTTACAAAACGAAAAGCTCCATGTGCACACACACTCCACACACAGGAGATGAAAGGTCAAGTTAAAAAGGGGATTGATTGTAGCGCATTGAACTTTTTTTTTTTTTTGTCCTTTTTGTCTCAATACATTTGTTCCAAGTTACAACATCATTTCAACATTTAACCAAAAATCTCTCAATACTGCCTGATGTTCGATTGATGCAGGATCTTCTTTAAATAACATAATATATAAGAATAAATAACAATAAGCTGGAATTGGTTGTATTTTCTTGTAAAAGAACAAATAAATTCATATGTCCACGATCACTGCATGGTTGGTGGTTATTGCTTTGTTTGCTGAGTTTAGTTGAATTGTGTTGTGACATTGTCAAAGAATGTTGTACACAAATAAAAAATAAATTGATGCAACGCCTCACAACTGAATCATTTCAAAGATACATTACACTAGATTTAAAAACAGCCTTGGGAAATAGGAGAAAATACTATAGTTTTTAAAAACATGCCAAGGCTTCTGAAGAAATACTTTTGACAGCGTCAGAAAAAAAACCTGCATCAGTGGAATTCCCCTGTGTAGTGAAAGTGATTTGCAGAATGTGAAATATAAAATGTATGTAATTCAGATGAAATCCAGGAGTTCTGCTCTCAGACAGATAACAGAGCAACTGTCTGTGTCTGAATGCCGTTGATAAGAGCATCATACCAATACAGTAGCCTTTCTCTGGGCTGCAGATTCCCCCTCTTCCTCTCCTCAGGAGTCTGACTGCAGGCGGGTCTGAGGACACCAAACACACAGGATTAGTCTACCATCACTTTGATAAGGCCAACTGCAGGATTATTACATTCATTTAAATCCAGTGACGTGTTATTAACATGTCTGTGAAAGCTGAATTATTGATTACTATTAGATTATTAATTCATGAATGTTGTGTTATTGTATTAGATAATGATCAATGAGCCCTTCATTTCTTTTGTTTTTTTTTGATGTGGTGTTTCAGTACTGCAGTTTCAGCAGATTACCTATAAATGAACCTGTGTGAGTGTTTCTGCGGATGCCTCACATGCTGAATACCCCCATTCTAAAGAAAATGAAAATGAAAAAATACATAGTTTCCCTCTCACCAGGGAATTTTAGTCGAACCAGGTGTCATTTGTGTGCAAAACAATATTGAAAAGCATCATGAAGTGGCTACAAAGTGAATGCCAAAACTACTGCAATCATATGCAAATACTCTGCATGGGACATTATATTCTGTGAGAACATAAAGCCAGTCTCTACTGTTCAGTGCTACTCAGGAAGACACGTAACCACAACACGAATGCCAGTGGTTCTGATAAGCGCCCTATAGTCTTCATTTCTTTTATTACAGTTGAGTGCTGATGTTTTTAAACTCAGTTGTGAACTGTGCTGAGTTTGGGGGGTTTTCAGGCCATAGGAAGTCATAAAGTGCACTGTACCTTTGACAGAGTGCCTTCAGTTGCTAAAGGACTAACTGTCCTCTGACATTGTAGGAATATTCAGATGAAAACAGTTTTCATTGCTTGAAATGTTCGCAAATATATTGTAAAACAAAAGGCAACAAAAAATGCCCCTCAAGATGTAATTGCTAACGCAATAAAATGTGGTGATGTCTTGCTGCTTTCAAAATATTATGTTGTCATGCAGCTTTCGGACAAGGAGGTCGACATCAATTGAATCAGTGATGCAGATCATCTCATTGAATCTATCACTTCTCTCATATATCAAAGACACGATGTAGTATTTGCATGCCACATCGAGGATATTCAGTTTCAGACAACCGCCAGCGGTGTCTGATAGGAGGGCGTGGAGTTTCGCTCTCAACCTTAACTGAAATCAGAAAGGGCCGGTAAAGCTGGAGGAGAATGAGTGTTGAACACACAGAGGCTCGAGATCTGTTTTACAGAAATCCCACCACATTACAGGGGGTGTGGTTCTTTTCAAACCCACTGGGGGTCATTTGGGACTTGAGAGCACAGACATAACAGCACTTGAGAAATGACAGGGTGTGTGTAAAGGTGAGGACAGACTGAGACATCAGCTGATGAAAACTGGCATCAGGCACAGTAATAAAGTGATTTGTACAGAGGAATATGGGAGAAGACTCTGAATGACCGATCTAAATGTCAGTGCTCGCTCCATGTAGAATAAGGAGGGAGGTGCAAAATGTGAGGCAGCTGAGTTGATGATATATAACCAGGAAAGCATGTGTAAACCTACAATTTCTCTAATTTTACAGGGGGGACATGTGTGGGGATTTAATATAGTCTATAGTATAGAAGTCAGCTGTGGTAACACCTGCATTCAGGGATCTTCAGCGCACTTCATATTGAGTTAATAATATGATCATACTCCACTCAGCATACAGTTTAAATGTGTTGTTTTAATACTTTAACTTCACTAGTAACAGTGTTGTATTAATTCAGGATGTTTGTGTATCAGGCTGTTCCTCCCTGAGTGTGTCATGAGATTAGAGCAGTTCTTGTTTGAAAAGGTCTTAACTTCCTGTTGTACCAAAAACACAACATGAAAGAATTTAGATTTTTAAAGGAGAGCAAAACTTATTTTGCTCAACATTTAAAATTGTAAGCCGTTTGTCATTAAATTGTTTGTTACAGTGGCCAATTAATAATGAAATACTCTCACACAGCCGTCCTCCTCCACTTTGTCCCCAGACGTTTGCTTCAGCCTTGCACGTTTTTTTTTTTTGTGGTGAGGAGATAACGGACAGTTTTTTTTTTTTTTAAAGACAAAAACTGTCACATACTGACTCACCCTCACAGACAGAGCACTTGGCTTTATAGTCAACCCGTTTTGGGAAAGAGCTCACAGTGGTGCTCCTCCTCCTCGGGGAGGGGTCTGGGCACCGGCGGTATTTATGTTTGAGTAGTTGGTGTATTTCAGAGACTAACTGATCACCCAGCTTTACACGCGGAGACAGACAGACACGCACATATACACACACAGAGAGACGCACACGGGTCATAGCGTTGCTTTTCCAAAGAGTGGTCAACATGCAGGTGAGTTTTTCTTTCTTGTTACTTTTCTAAGTTAATATCTGACATTTCTGTGTGTTTTTGCTCGAGGCTGTTTAATTGTTATTCATGTAGATATAGTTTATCATCGTTCACCCGTGTTTTAATTCACCATAATCTTACTTAGTGTCTACTTTTAAATAAATGTCTTCAATGGTAAAAATTAGTGGAAATAAATCAAACTTTTGACAACTCCGAACTTTTTTTTTTTTTTTCTTTTTTTTATGTCAAGTAAAGTGAACAACTACCTAGAGCCGAAGAGTCTTCTAACTTTGCTCTAATTTCTTCTCCTTTCAGTATAAATTTGACCTGAACTTCGACATGTTTGAGAACAATACAGACAACATCTCAGAGGAGTCTGGAGACTTCGATATGGATTTGCAGGAGCCATGTGACACTGCTTTGAGCAGCGAATTCAACAAGATCTTCCTTCCTACAGTTTACGGAATAATATTTATTCTGGGAGTGATTGGCAATGGATTAGTCGTTGTTGTCATGGGCTACCAGAAAAAGGTCAAAACTATGACAGACCAGTACCGGCTCCATCTCTCTGTGGCTGACCTCCTGTTTGTCCTCACGCTGCCCTTCTGGGCCGTGGATGCAGCCAAAACCTGGTACTTCGGAAGTTTCCTCTGTGTGTCTGTACACATGATCTACACAGTCAACCTGTACAGCAGCGTGTTGATCCTGGCCTTCATCAGTCTAGACAGGTACTTGGCAGTCGTGCGGGCCACTAACAGCAATGCCACAAGAAAGCTGCTTGCGAGCAAAGTGATCTATGTGGGTGTGTGGCTGCCTGCAGTCATACTGACTGTACCTGACATGGTGTTTGCCAGGGAGCAAAAAGGAGGGTCTTCAAACATGCCCTTCCTAGATGAAAGCATGGAGACTACAGAGTCCAGGACCATCTGCCAGCGCATCTATCCACAGAAAACCAGTCTCATATGGACAGTGGTTTTCCGCTTCCAGCACATCCTGGTAGGCTTCATACTACCCGGCCTGGTCATCCTCATCTGCTATTGCATCATCATTGCCAAGCTGTCGCAAGGCGCCAAGAGTCAAGGGCAACAGGGGTCAAGGGCGCTGAAAAAGAAAGCGCTGAAGACCACGGTCATCCTCATCCTGTGTTTTTTCTCCTGCTGGCTGCCCTACTGTATTGGCATCTTTTTGGACACTCTCATAATGCTGAACGTGGTCCCTTCCTCTTGTGAATTGCAACAAGCGGTGGAGAAGTGGATTGCTATCACTGAGGCGCTGGCCTATTTTCACTGCTGCCTAAACCCCATCCTGTATGCCTTCCTGGGAGTTAAGTTTAAGAAAACAGCCAGGAGTGCACTGACAGCCAGCAGCAGATCCAGTCAGAAAGTGACTCTTATGACTAAAAAACGAGGGCCGATCTCATCCGTGTCAACTGAGTCTGAGTCATCAAGTGTTTTGTCGAGTTAACAAACAACACAAGAGTCTGTGACTTGATACTCTCAGGAGAGAAAATAACTAAGCTTTAATTTTAAAGAACTTACTACATTTTGTACAGATGTAAAAACTTTTTTTTTTTTTTTATACTTTTTGATTTGTTTGCCTTGTGTTCTGCAACTGTGTGTATTGTGAGGGTTTTAATTGCAAGTTGTAAATTGTAAGTTTTATGTTCCACAAAGCCGATTGTATCCTCAGGCAGTGCCTCATTTACATCCATTCAGCTTTACAATCATCGTCCATTTTCCCTGTTTTCATCTTTACCACAAGTGTTGCTGTATCAAAGCTCAGGCGTACAAGTGTCCGTGTCTGTTTTCAGGGATGGTCACTGCTTTTGGAAACCTGTACATAGTTCTGTAGCATTTGTGTGTTCGCACTTAAGTTGTGTGATTATCTGAAAGCTATTATTTATTGCTGTCTTCACACTGGAAGTTTTGTAAAAGAAAAAAACTGCATGCTGCTTTTTTTACCATTTGAATTTTTTGTGTTGTTTTTGAATGTAAAAATAAAAGTTTCAGTGCTTAACATAATGACAGTGTGGTGTGCATTTTCACCTAAAACCAGCTCCTCCTCCCTTCAGGGGTTGGGGGATGAGATGTGTATGTGTGTGTGTGGGTGTGTGTGTTTGGAGGGGATGGGTGGGGGAGTAGGGTTCTCCTAACACAAATGTCTCCACCTGATCTGGCTGTAAAGCAAAGCAGAGGGAGGACTGAGTAGACAGACCCTGTAATTGCAAGAACATCTGTGCACTTTTACATCTTAAGCACCCATTACACAAAGGCTAAAATCTTCTGTTATAATTAGCGCCCATATGGCTGCTTAACAAAGAAAATACCATGTTAAGTTCCCCTTTGACTTCTTTTTTCAATTTGCAAGAAATACTGCTTCCATTATTTTTGGCAAACAAGTTCTATCCTCATTCTCTTCCCAGAATAGGGCAATGGGTCAACCCAGACATTCCCTGACTCACAAAACCGACACAATACTATTCAGAGCACAGGTTGCAAATGCAAATAGGCAGACATAGTCTGAGGATTCATGCAAATATATCACTGGTAATAAATCTGTTGGAACTATATAATGACAGTGTAAGACATAAAAATGACAAGTGTGAACACACACTCATCTCAGTCTCTCTTTGGACACTGCTTTACATGCTGGAAATGTAAGTTCAAGTTGGAGACCAAAGGAAGCTCGCAACAATAGATGTCAAGGAGAATGAAGTCGTCAAATGGCTGCTGTGCAGTGCAGTGTTGGCATCCATTCAAGACTCCAATGGAGATAAATTTCCATTTCTTTACATGTAAAACATGTGTAAAGTGCCCCCATCAAGCCACAAGGTTAATGGTTATTTTGGGGCTTTGGTCTCTTGCAGTGAAACAGGATAAAACAAGAGGTGCTTTTTCAGTTGGAAATGTTCCCAAATGAGTCAGAATTAGCATAAGAGCCATGCTGCCTCCCAATGCAGGGAGAGTTTTGTGATTAACACTTCACTCTGCTCAAATGAATCCTCTTCATTTGCTTCTTCAATTCTCATCAAGAAAGCTGTGTTGCTGGAGAGGGATTCGATTTCACATTGTAGGGCTACACAGTAAACTGATATATGGGAATGTAATTGACCTAAATCAAATATTACTTATAGTGCACTGTAAGTGGTCAAAACCTCAGAAAGGATGAATGCAACAGTCAAGATGACAGTTCATAAACACGCGAAGAGATGACTATGCCATATATATATAATTTTTCTCCAAATTCTCACAGAGAAGTGCACAAAACACCTGTGGTAATTCAAGAAGATCCTCTTTCAATCATTCTCAAAGCTCATGTTCTCTTTGTGTGAGGAGCAAATATATTACTCAATCACACACATCTCTAATACTGCCTTCCAGGGCTGTTTTATTGTAGATATACTAATCCTGAGCATGGTAACCTCATGATCCTGTAGCCATCATCTCTTGCAAAACACCAGCATCATCTTCCTGTGCAATGTTGCAAAAATCACATATTTCTGACATCTTATGTTAGTTTAAACAAATGTATGCGTGAATGTTGTGGTAGTGAGGGGGTTTCTTATTTCCTTTATTGGGTTAAAGGCCAAAGCTGTTGAAATGGACAGGAAATAGTTTATTCTGGTGATTCATTACCGGTGTACTGGAAACCATTGTCCAGCCTGCAAAGGACCTCATTTGGGTTTTGCTGTTGAAATGTACTAAAATTGTGAGTGACAGTATAAGCACCGCTAATGTGCAGAGATTATTTTAAAGGGATTTTGCAAACTAAGGATGAAAGGAATAGAAATATCGCAGTGACCTGCTCCACTAATGGTGACATTGTTTTGGCTGGAAAAGTGAGCAGCAGGAAGGCTGTTTCCTGCATCGGGAGCTCCTGTGGCCAACAGCCTGAGAAAGGCTTTGATGACACCCCCACTCTATTCAAACCACCATCACTCGCTGTGCATGGCCGTTCCTGCAAAGGTCACTGGATACCTGGATGTACTTAGTGCACTCTACCAAAGGCGTGAAAGTAATTTCATGGTGATTGTAAAAATAAAGCCCACACATGGTGGTCATTTGTTAGTACTGTTATTACCGTGTGTGTGTGTGTGCATTTTGTTGAAGGTGCTCTATGTTTATTTAGTTCATGTTTATTAAAATGTAATTTTTCTTGATTTTTGTATTCACTAAGAAAAAAAAGGGGTTTTCAGCACGAAGGGACCATCAAATCAGGTCTCTTTAAACTACAGACTACAATTTGTCAGTTATGTCCTGATATTTTTTGCATGCATCTCGTATTTTGTTATTATAAACATAGAAATATCCACAAAATACCTATACACTGTCATCATTTATTATAATCAGTTTTACACTCCACGTGCAGTTCATCTGCAGTCTGAACAAATAATTTGAGCAATGCATTGTCACTCTCTCAAATTGAATCGAAGGCAACTGGACTTGTATTTGTCTGTGGAAGACGTTTCGCCTCTTATCCAAGCGGCTTCATCAGTTCATCATGTATTGGTCTCTCTAGTCCGCACTAGTCTGACGACTAGTCAGACAAGTGCGGACTAGAGAGGACTAGAGAGACCAATACATGATGACTAGAGAGACCAATACATGATGAACTGATGAAGCCGCNTATTATAAACATAGAAATATCCACAAAATACCTATACACTGTCATCATTTATTATAATCAGTTTTACACTCCACGTGCAGTTCATCTGCAGTCTGAACAAATAATTTGAGCAATGCATTGTCACTTAATAAATTCAGTTATCAAAGTAGCCTAGCCAAGTCTGAATTCTGCTAATTTGCATAGTATGACTCAATTTCATAGCAATATGTATAGTTTTGATCAATGTACTTATGAGTCATGAATTTTCCATTACGTGTTTACATTATTTTGTGTACCCCCTGTACAGGCATGACAAAAAACATTAGTTGGAACCACACTCCAGTCATTCGTTTCTAGCCGGAACCCTCAGCATCCGGTATTTGGTGCTCCGTCAAAACAGGTCCTTCCTTCCTGCGTCCGTCCATGCTCTGAACAGCTGATGTGGTTCCTTTCTGTCAGACAGCCGTGAAATATTTTCTCTTCATTCTTTAAGAATATAGCTCGACATGACTAAAGAGGAAGTCCAGGGGTAAGAATGGCGTGAGAGTTGTTCGTGGCTTAACTCACGTCCCACACCGTCACCAGCACACTACGCTTTTTACCACCGTAAGACAGGGTTAGCATGGATAGCAGCTAGCTAGCGTTGCCTTAACATGCAGCAGATTGCATCATCTGACAGTTTAGGTAAAGGAGTCACAACGTTTGCCCATACGAGCAAAATGTTTAAAATATCAGGCATATAAAAATAAACACCAGATGAGCACAAGCGATGCTGGGTAACCAACGTTACCTTACCCATGGGGAGTTGTTGTATGAGCACCAAATTACATTGAAAAAGTTTGTCAGTTTATTTTGATCTTGCTTAATATGCGAGTTACACTGCTAGAAGTATGTGAAAAGATCTCTCACAAACCTTTAGAGTTTCCTGGTGAATTCAGCATATTACAACTTGGTTAATATAAAGTGTCAACCTTTATATTTAGTTCTCAGTAAAAGACTCAAAGCTGGAATGTGAATGAAACACTGCATTGGGGTTTGCATGGATCCCGGATTGAAATCTGTTTTCTTATGAGTCACATTATATCTTGAGTCATATTTTTCAACACATTTACTTTTTTGCTGCATACAAAACAATACTTAACCTTTAGTTGTTTAAAAGGAGTTTGCAGATTTCTACCTGTCAGGTCATGCTCATCCACATTCCACTGATGTGCTCTTCCGGTTTCCCCTCTATCCATGGGCCACTTTGCTTTCAGTTAAAGCTGGAGATACAGAGAGGAAGGAATGTTTGGGGTGTCAAACAAATTAGTCTTCCTTAAGTTAATTTAAATTATTGCTTGGAATACATTGAGTGACTGAGTGAAGAAGAGAAAACTTATATGGGTTAACACAATACACTGTGCTGTCTCATGTATGTGCTGAGACTGCCAACATAGTTGTTCATGTTATCTCAGTTTTACAGACCAAACTTTGTTATATTAAAATATGTTTGTAATATTGCGTACATCACATTTACAAGGATTTTGATTGTTCTGGTGACTTACTGTACTTTGGATTGCTAAATCTCATACGAGGACTGATAACATTTTGTTTTATGTTCAACTGCTCCTATTCATTTATTGTCCTTTTATGATGTAAAAATATGTGTGGAGGTGTAACAACTGAGCTGTAGCATGGCTTGGGCTGTAACACACCTGATGGACATACTATAGGCCGTCACAACATGTGCTACTTATGTTAACTGACTGGTGACAATGGCCAAATGGCATATGCTGATTATTTTAACTGTACAACATATAATCATTTGTCTGTGTGTCAATTAGCTGTGTAAAGAACTGAGAGCCACAAATGTTATGTACCGGTTTGGCAGC